ATGAACGAATAGAGACATTCGTACATTCGTATTTGAGCATTATCTCTCTCTCTCTCTCTCTCTCTCTCTCTCTCTCTCTCTCTCTCTCTCTTTTCTCAGTATATATCTTACTCGTGATACAGATTGTGCGCGCGTGGTCGTAGCGAAGAACTTGTTAAAGGAACGTTTTAAATTTCCAGATGAAAAGGATGGGAAGAGAAAAAAAGCACCGCTCGCTTCACGAGAAAAGACGAAAGGCTGAGCTCTCTCGGCGACTCCGTCCACGTCCGCGAGCCGCTCCTCTTTTTTTCCCTTAGCGCACGCCGGCGGCACCTAAGCACGAGCGCGACTGCTCGTGGCGTCGGTTCGCAACGGCCTTGCCACCAATACGCACGTCTTGAGTCTACGGCCTCCGAGGCTGACGTCGTCGCCGTTGCCTTTAGTAAAGCCGAGACTCCGAGTCGCCGCGAGAGATTAATCATCGGCTCGGTCAGCGCAGTCTGTGCACGTACGCGCGGCTTTCTAATGGATGACGCTGACTCGCGACGAAGTAATACGGCACACGCTTTTTCCACCTTACGCTGCATGCTAAATTCGAGAAAAACGAAAATACAATGTCGCCGTATGTAGGTGCGCGATGCCAAAGCACTACGGCACTCGCATCCATGATATTTATTATCGCGAGCTTTATCGAAGGAGGGCACGCGCGGATAGATTTCTGTGTGCTTCTGGATACGCGCGTCGTACACTTGATTAGTACATATATACTTTCGATCGGGTATTTGCGTATTACTGTTGGATTTTATACTCCACGGCTTTTATTTATATAAAACGCAACGAGCCGTAATAACCTAATTCCCAAATCATTATCGCGCGATATAATATTGCAAGATAATTCGAGTGACTGCTGAGAAAAGTGAGACTGGTACAGCAGCTGCTAGTGATAAATTCGGACAGACTACTAATGTAAAAGTATCGATTGGCTTTAAATTGAAAATAGAAAAATTAGACAGAGAGAGAGAGAGAGAGAGAGAGAGAGAGAGAGAGAGAAATCCGATTTGTAATCAAAGCCTTTGGATATGATTATGCTGCTCAAACCTCAGCAAGTATGTTGTTGTATTAAGAAATTATTACTTTTTTCACTTCTTATTCGTGTAATGTTGAAAAGATATTATTTCTAATAACATATAATAGTTATAAATATAAAATATAATTATATATAGTAGAATTTTTTGATAAATTTTTTGGGACGAGAATGCAAAATAAAAGCCCTTATGAAACTCATGCTATTTTAATTAATAATATTGTTTTTAATTGAAAAAGTCCATAAGAAAAACTAGTATTAAATACTTCTGAATTACTACTGCATACAATTTATATTACTGTGAATTTTTATAACTGAATATATAATAATACAAGGAATAAGAAATTCTTTTCATATTGAATTCATATTCAATCCTCATTGATTATGGGATATAATGTTTTAACATTCTTTGCAGATATCCAATGATGCCTAAATGTAACGAATAATACTTCATTGTATTTAATGTTTAGTTTCCAGTCAGATTATGCCTACTGTTAAAAAATCAATATAACTTTTCTCTGTTTCCTGTTTCCACGAACGAATCTACGTATATATATATATATATATATATACGATTCTTTACGAAATTAAATCACATATTGTAAATGCCCTAATATTTGTCGATTGAAGCTATCGTGATTTATGAGACATTGCATTAGAAATAATAACTTTATATCTACTTATATTTCTTATATTAGAGAAATTATACTTTCTTTTTGGTTTTTAAAAGTATTCAAAGTTACATTTGGAGCATGATTCGCAAATCATTGTAAATTAGAAATTCATTTTCTAGAAAGTTAAAATATTTTTATAAATTCATTATTATTTATAACTTAGTACTTTTCAAACAAAACGAATTTTTTTTTACTTTGTTTTTTTTTTTACAATTATTTAAAGATATATATATATTTTTTTTTCTCCTTTTTCTGATATTTATTTTATATGCAATGATTTTTATGACTTTTAAATCATGTACCATAAAACAATTTACAAATATAAGATAGACATTAAACACTATTAAATGCATTATAGTAACATGTGTAGAGCAATCTCCACAAAGAAAAATATTTTATCGATTTAGTGTTGTTTAAATTAAGATTTTTGCACATAAAACGTACTTTTACCGCAATAAAAGTTTCATAAATAATATTAAATTCTAATGAAACAGGTTTAAAAAACATCTATAAATGTTTCAATATTACCGAATGACTATAGATATATAGAATATAAATTTATACTTATATCTCTTATTTCAGATCTTTAAAAAATAAAGATTATACAGGACGTTACGTTACGAATGTTACGTAACAATAATTACAACAACAACAACAACAACAACAATAACAGCAACAACGATAAAAATGAATAAAAAATAATTAATTAGTAATACTACATAATAATAAATTAAAAATACTTCTAATAATAAATGAAATGATAAATGTGCCATAATAAAGTTGAATAATAAATAATAAGAAATATTCAAATTGCGGTGCAACCTTTTCATAATTTAACTAATTCTGAAATCTAATAGAAGCTTGATTACAATAATCACCTAATTAAGGAGAAATTAATGAGCTTCAAATATATTCATAATAATTTACGTTATTTTTTTAAGTCTAGGTCAAGCAGCGCAAAATCAGAGCAGACCGCTTTACTTATCAACGTAATCGGCCAATGAAAATGTAGGCGCCCGTATCTAATAATTCGCTAATTCAATGAAGTACCTAAAAAGTCGTACACTTACAATTGATACAAATGTCTCGCACAATTTATTATGCAACATTCAATTATTGTAGGAGCGAGAGCTCGCCATCCCGACATTTATACCCATATATCTTCATACGAGTTCGTTTACCGTCTAATATTTTATGTTATTAAAAGATGAACGAACGGCTACTTACTCTTCGCGCTAGAGTGAGTGAATCGCGATATAGTACCCCGTATGTGAGGATAATACACACGTATGGGACAATGGCTAATCAACGGCGATGTGTCATCTGGTATAAACTGTATAGTACATTTTCATTTGTTTTGGATGATTCGCGACAATGAGAATTATCTATCTTTTTATTTGTCTCCAAGTGACAAAATGAGAATTGAGTAAGACACTTATTGGCTCAATTGTATTATTATCGTGCATTATATATCGACGTGATTAGTTTCACAACGATAAATTCTCATTCAATTAAATTTAATGTACATTTAATTACAATACGTTTCATTGCCTTTTTTCTAATCAATGGGAGTTTGGATCTCATGTGGACAGACACGTATTTATTGATTGATGTAGGTGTATAATAATACAGCAAACGATTCATGAGATCGAAATTGCGGTTTATATATATAGCACAAGTAAAAATAAAACAAACAAAAAACATGAAACAATAAAGTTTTTGTTACAATCTAATATAATAATCATATACTGTACTTGAATTATTTCATTTGGCTGAAAATATTTATAAAAGAATTTTACTATTTCTTTGTTATTTCTTTTACTTACGGAAAGAGTTTTTGTAATACATTCGATTCATTAAGCTCTCTTGGAATAAACTTTTTATTAATGTATTCTTATTTTCGAAAAAACCTCATATATTTGATATTTTATACGGCAACGACATCATAGTTTGATTTGTTCTTGTAAAAAAAAAAAAAAAATTGAAACTCCAACTTTTCCATTAAATTTACAGTCTTTTACTACTTTTTAAACTTCTAAATAATAAAGATGCTTGTTTAATTAAAATTGAAACATTAAATATTATATGGAAATTAAATTTATCATTTCGTATATATAGACAATTTTTTTTTTTTTTTTTTTTTTTTTTTTTTTTTTTTGGAATATCTGTAATATATAAATTCATAAAAACATCTTTTAAATACTTTTATATAAATATAAATATACAATATATACAAATATGTAAATTTATTACTTTACCTTATTAATTTAATTTCTAATTGAATGTGACAATTTTAGTTTATGAACTTTTTCCTCGATAACACATCTACAATATGCTAGTCTTTACTCTTTGTTCGCATATTCTTAATGATATTCATGCGTCTTATTAATTTATTACGGATATCCTGTTTCTCTTTATATATATATATATATATATATATATATATATATATATATATATATAAAGAGAAACAGGATATCCGTAATTATTAATTAGCTTCTCTTTTCTTATTTAGATAGATATTCAGAAGTGCAATTTATTTTACAAAGACCGATAAGAATTCTTCCACTTGGAAATCATTAACTATATCATTTTATTAATTGATTTACTAGGATAATAAAAAGTGCAAATAAACCTATATTTGTGAGCTCGATATGCTTCAATGATTTCGGCGGTTCTAAATATTAGATGTATTAATTTTTAAATTTCATATAGTCGGAGCGATTACATGAAATTCTATCATATATCTATTACTATGTATAATAAAAAAAATATGTTAATAAATGTTATTATTACAAAATAAAATCCATGATGAATATAAATAAACTTTTCAGGTATGAAAAATTCAATATCACTGAATTTACAACTTGTGCGGATGTTTTATGTGCATAATTGTTGGCACATTATTACTTAGTTTTCAAAATAATTGCTTTGAAAGTGTGTGCGTATGTCTTCTTTTTTATTTTTTACACCAACTTTGCGTAAAATTTCATAATTTATCTTATTAACTGCGCAGATTACTTTATTCATAAATTCAAATCTTACTGCGTCTCCAAGCGACTTTTACTACGGACATCTTAACATTGGGTTCAAACAGTCTTGACGCACAGCTTTCGAATTCGCACAATAAAGCTCATTTCAACAGAACATTGAGGGCATTTAATTAAAACCACCTGTGCGCCGAGCTATTAAAGCATACTACTCGTTTAAAAAATGAAAAAATTTTTTTTATATAGTCCAAAGCTGGATTCGACTATCAGTTTTTATACTTCCGCAAAGCAGAAAGAGTCAAAGAGAAGTAGTCGAGCGGCACAACTCACCTTGACTTCGTGATAACGCTCCTCAAGGTAATAAGCAAGCCCCCTCGCCTCCTCGTATCTCGTAGCCAGCGCCACGTATTTGTCGTAATGCCTCTTGAACAGCACAAACCTACAAAGAGCAAACGTTTATTATCGTACATGTACAATGGAGATACATACATGAGTACTCAACGGCTTTGCTGAACATGCTCGAGAAAATACGAGTACCGACAGTTTTTAACCAACGTTATTTAAGATGACAAAAAAAACTCGTTAACATTGATGTTAATAGGTAGACTGTTTATAGTTTTACGTTGTATATGAGCAAGAAGGGAACATGTTTTTAAATACTGTGTACAAACTTTATAATTCGCATTACATTGCCTTTAATTTGCTTACTATAACGTAAAATAATGAGAAATATTCTATTTTTCTTAAATATGTAATAATAATTAATATTATTATTATCATTATTAAGTTTTTTTTTTTTTTTTTTTTTTTTTTTTAAAAAATTTTTTTTTTTTTTTTTTTTTTTTTTTTTAATAAATATTATTTTTCTTCTCGATTGTGAATGTATATTTTTATATATTATCTTTAATATCCAAAAATAACGTTTATCAATGTCTATATTAACAATATGGTATATTGAACTCGCTGTCATTTACGTCAAATAATTGATTTTCCTTAACGTATATTTTTAATATTTAATAAAAAAAGTATGGTAAATAAGCAATGAGTAATTGCAAAAATAATGTCTTCACAATCTGTAATTAGAATTTAAAAGCCAAAAAGTAGAAACACATAATTTTCAAATTATAACTGAAATGACATTGTTTGTTTTTTATCTCGTTAAGGGCCTATCGTATTGAATCTGATAAAGAAAATATATTTATTTGTTTTTCTTTTATTTTCATTACGTTATTGGAATAATGGTCGATATACTTCTTCATTTTCTTTAGCATTTCACAATAATTCAGAATTAATTATTATTTTGTTCATGTTAAATACATTTTAGTTTTCGGTTTTTTTTTTTATTCTTACTAAATCAAACATTGGTTTATTCCATGCATATTCACTTTATTACAATTTATTTGAATTTTCTTTTATATTATTTGCCGCTGTTTTTGCGCCAAGTATTATTTTTATCTTTATTATGTAACCTTTGAACGAACTAGAAAACTATATATATATATATATATATATATGTTTGCTGTAACATTTTTTTCCAGTGCATTTGAAAAGATGAATAATTTTTAAAATAAATGCCACGTTTTACGATATTTTTCCGCACAATGTAAACATACGATTTTCGAAGAAACGTTTAATGTATTCGCTTCAAACTCCAAAGCTTACTCTTTACAATTAGTTGTAATTTTTATTTTATTATTAATTCCTCTGTATTTTATTCATACGCATACTTTACTGCACAAGTATACCGCGAATGAAATTAATTTTAATCCCAACTACAAGGAATTACGATTAAAAATTTTCCATTCCTCATAAATTTTCTTTGTACTTCAAAGTGCTACTACTTCAAATAATGTTGGAGCATCGGACGAGTTTACTCGCGGTTATTCCTACAGCTATTCAACATATTTCATAATGTAAATGATAAAAAAAAAGAAAGAAAGGAAAAGCTAGGGAATGCTAAGAGAATCGCCGCATTCCCCAATCGCTAAAGGATTGCACATACACTTGCATACGAAATTCCTGCATCGATGTCGTTATACGTACAGGCACGCACAACTATTTATCGTCGAGCTCTCATCGGCGATTTTTTTCGGCCATTGCAATTTATCTTGCATATTTGTTGCATTTATTTGCAAGGCTCCTTGAAAGGCTTTGTGTGCAACGTAACTGACTACCTGCACGTGAAATCGGCAAACGACTGCCGACAGTCAGGCGAATTAAATTAAATATGCAAATAATAAAACTGACTACTGGCGTTTGTCCTTACTTTGATGGAATATTTGTTTAGGCTGCCGGTGTATTTTTAGTTGTAAATTCTTGATATTAATTTTACACGTGTTTTTAAGACCGTTAATAAATTTAACTTAAGTCTTTTGACAAACATCGTACATGTACTTTGCGATATGGCAACGCTGGCAAAAAATTATGTACAAATCGTTGAAAGGTGAAGATAATAATATCAACGTTATTTTAGATATTAAAAAAATATTGAAAATTATTACGACATTAGACGAATGTTGACGGGATACCGAAGGCCTTTATACAAGCACAAGCACTTCGATATCGAGAGCATAATTTTACACTCAAGTACAGAGAATAGAAGAAGCATTGCAAAAAGTACATTCCCGAGAAACAAGACTAAGAAGTAGAAAATTGCCAAAGAGATGCATGCGTTCAATGACCTTCATCGAACTATTCATAATACTTTTAATTAAAACACTTTGACGCTTTTATAATGTAAAATTTATATTATCCTTTCCCCCCCCCCATCCCGCCGGCCGGCCGGCCGGCCTTTATAATTCGAGAATTTTACTCATAAGCAACAATATTTAAATGACATTTTTACCTATTAAATAAATTAAACAAATACTTGTTAAATAATATTGGGAAATTTAACGTCAATTGACCTATGATTTATGGGCTTACGATAACGTGAAAATTTTTTTTATTTAATTATAACCGAGCTATAATTTATAGTTTATACAATAAAAACAAATGTAATAAAGTTCATGTATTTTCTATAACTGATTGCAGCCTCACTGCGGTCAATAATAGCAATCGTTATTCTAAGGAATTTAAATCTTTTGAATAAATATATTTTTAATCTTATGAGTTTTTCAATTTCATTCAGCTAGTTAAGAAAAATTTGTTCCAAACAATTTGCTTTGGCAATGCTCATCTTTCAATTTAATAAGATTAATGGGGAATTCAACATGAGGTGAGGACGTTGATGTTCGAGTGCTGTTTACATATTTTCGAAATCGGTACCTCAAAGTATAGAATTTTTTTTTTTTTTTTTCATTTGAGTTCGCTTACGTAAAAATTCTGAACCAACGTATTAGAAATTCTCGTACGATGTTTGTTTGATTTTTCCAATTTACTATGCAATATATAAAAATTATTTATTCAGAATTTGTTATTTTTAAATATATTTTCTTAACGTATAAAGATATAAGCTACCGAGGTTGTCGTTTCAATAAAATTTTGTTAATTTTACCACTTGTATTATTATAATTCTTGTATAATATAATTTAGAAAATTATTTAATTTCTTTTATGGATACGTTAGATGATGTGAATAATCATAGCGATTATAATAACATCTCAACACTAATTCCGATTTCTTTCAACATTTATTGATTGTTCTTTTGATGTAATCAATGGCAAAAAAAGATACATCTCCATGAAAGTTTATTTGTTTAAAAATATATTTCTTAATAATGATATTTACAACGAATGTAAACTATTTTGTCCGTAAAAATGTGCAGTATACAAACTATATAAGAAAAGTACAACTTTTTATTTGAATGAAGCGTTTGTTAAATCAATAATGTATACGATGATTAAATTTCTTGCAATTACTACACATTGATTTTCCAATATTATTTTTCAATATTCAGTCGTGTTTTAAAGTTTGGATGTAAATTATACTTAATATTATCTAATTTACTATAATTTTGCAAGGAGAAATTATTCTGCAATTACACTGCGGAATATGTATCGGAATATGATTAATAATATTTATTGCCAATATATCCAAATTATCATGATTAGGTACCATGAGATGATGGGAATAATAAACGTTTTCAACATTAAGTGTTCTAAATTTCCTTCGCCCAATACGAATGTAAATAAATAATGGACTTTCACGATACTTATTTATTTTTCTCGACATTGCCCAAGCTCGACATAATAATGAATTGTTATTTTGAATAAAGGCATCCTGTCGCTAAGCCATGCCTCAAAGTGTTCCGAGTATTAATTATTCAGTAATTAATAATATTGGTAATTCCTTCAGAAATTATGGAGCACATAATTACCACTACCAATTACTTCGTCCTACGTATTCACGTATGCACGTATCCACACGCGCAAACACAAAATACAAAATTCTCTAAGGAGAGAATGAATTTGCATTTTATAGGCTCAAAAATGTCAGAAAACTTTTAAAAACTCGTCCGATCGTAAATGCCTACCTAATACATACTTAATAGATAGTACATGTCTAAGTTGGAGAAACGCAAATATATGACGATTGGATAGTAGATTAGATTTTCCTAGTATGTGAAAAAGCCTCATTATACTTCTCGGCAAACTAATGATTTTCGAAATGAGCATTACAATCAAACGCGTTGGCATACTCTGGATGAATAATGAGACTACCGCACATAACCAAATTATCCATACAAACTCTTTGCTTATGTTTCGGTTGAAATGAGCACACCGCTCGTTACGGCTATCATTACGTGTCCGCTGTGTAGACCAAAGTCCTCCCGACAAATCCCCCCCCACCCCCAAATCTTATCGTCTTATTAATCTTCGGCATCGAATAGGTAGGTAGGTAGGTAGGTAGGTAGGTAGGTAGGTAGGTAGGTAGGTAGGTAGGCAGGCAGGCAGGCAGGCAGGCAGGCAGGCAGGCAGGCAGGCAGGCAGGCAGGCAGGCAGGCAGGCAGGCAGGCAGGCAAGCAGGCAGGCAGGCAGGCAGTAATGTCTTTGCGTATCTTACCCCCACCCCCCATCCCACCCGGCCGCGCTACCACCCACCTCCCTACCACACGCGCCACACCCCGTGTCGCGCAAACTCGACCCGACCCAACTCACCTGTAGAGGTCGTTTTCAGTGACGATATCGCGAATGGAATCCTCGGGGTCGATCCTGTCGGCGAGTGGGCCCGGCGAGCCAGGGGAGCCCCTCGCACCCAGGAGTCCGGGTCTCGGGCTCGGGCCGTTGAGCGCACTCGCGGCTATGAGATCGTCTTCGGATGCCGCGGTCCCTATAAGTGGCTGGGGCGAAGGGCTGCGCGTCGTCGGGGGCCCCAGGAGGTCCTCGCTTCGCGAGTGCCTCATTTCCGAGTTGCGGAAGAGCTGGCCGGCGCCGCCGGGGCTCCGAAAGATCACCTCGGATTTCGTGACCGGGACCCCGTTGCTCGCGAATGTCGACGTGGGCAGTCCGATGAGGAGGTCCGTCATGGTCGTAATAACGTCTTATTGACTGCTCGATTCGTCCTTCTTGCATACACACGCACGCACACGCACGCACGCACGCACGCACGCACGCACGCACACTCGCTCTCTCTCTCTCTCTCTCTCTCTCTCTCTCTCCTCTCCTCACCCTCGAACTTAGTGTTTTTTGTCGCAATGCTCCTCTTCTTCTCGACTTTTCGAACTTCGAGCTTGAGATCTCGCGACCTCGAGGCTATGTCTTATTGAACACGGAAGCTGTCCACTTGATTTTGTGGGGAGAATTGCAGCGGTGCTCTTGTCGACTCGAATGGCACATGATTGATGATCCTTGGCTCACGAGTCGAAAGCCATGTCTGTCCTTCCTCAGTGTTGATTTCACATAGGATTATGTAAAACTCGGGCACACGCACGCGCGGACACTCTCTTTTAATCTCACACTCTCCTGATAGAGTGTAGCGAGGACGTGAGGTCTTTGGTTTCCTCGGAGCGCAACTCACCGTAAGGGACAAACGAGCCAAGCCTTGAGCTCTTCTCCTCTTCGGAAAATGAGGGGCACCGGTGCCACGCGAGTCGAACCTCCTTGTCCACTCCCAGTCCACCCCCAGTTACCTCCGATTGTTCCTTTGATCGGTGTCGATCGGTACCCGATGTTCAAGTCGATGGTCGCGTCGGCGTTAAGTCAACGGCACCCGGATCGATAGCCTCCCGTTGTTTACCGGGCTCGCGGTAAAAGCAGGCTCCTCGTCTCTTGTTTTATCGAGCGTTCTTTTTTCCTCGCCCGCTCACTTCCTCCCTCCCTCTCCGGTAACCACTCGCTCTCTCTCTCTCTCTCTCTCTCTCTCTCTCTCTCTCTCTGTCCCACACCCCTTCGTTCAGTAAATAAGCTCGGCCGTGTCGTAAGGTAGCGCGCGGCGGTGACGGGACCGCTCCTTTGGCCTGTTTTAACACACGCGCGCACAGTAGGCACAGGCACACTCGGCGCACCACTTCGATTAGATTAAAGCGAGTATTATTTCGACACTCCCGTGACGAAATTGGCCTTGGAGGTTAGGGCGGCAAGGGTTTGGGCTCTTCTCGCGATTCTCTTCTCCCGTGGCAAGTCCTTTGCACGCGGTTGTCTCTTACTCTATCTCTCTCTCTCTCTCTCTCGCTCGCTCGCTCGCTCACTCGATCACTCACTCTTTCGTCCTTGACAAATCGCGAGCTACGCTGTATGACGACGCTCGAACCTCGTTTCCCGCGAATCCTGGTGGGATCTTACGTCAGGTGTACCTAGTGATTGAACGGGTCGCGCGCGACATCAAGCTCCCGCTAGAGGCAAGTGTCCCCGGATATGGAGGTAGAAGGAGGAGCGCGGTAGCGCACGGTTAGACGAGAAACCGAGAACTGCAGCGCGAGGCAGCGCTTCGCCGCTTGGGAGTCGGGAAGTTGGAAAAGATCGGAGAACTCGTGAGCGAGGGACACGCGGCCGAGACGCCGCGGGCCGTGTTTCGAGAGCTGAGCGTGAGAGGCGCTGAGGGTGACCGAGGCCGTGCAGGGGGCTACGTTGCCGGCTTCGGGCCCGACGTGCCTTCACGCCCTCGGGGCTTTAATGGTGGCCGATGGGCCATAATTATCGCTACCCGGTGAGAATTACCTGCGCACTGGCTAGGTGGGTAGGCCAAGTGCCACGAGGTTGCTAAGGATTCGAGGGCCGGTTGGTTGGCCGAGTGCCTGCTTTACTTATGGACAACTTTTTCGTTCGGGAATGACGACTAGGAAGTCGAATTGGAATGTTGGCCAGCCAATGATCCGCTGCCTTAAGAAACATCGATTGACTTTTTTCGCCTCTATTTACGTTCGCGAATGGCTTTGTCCTTTTTCTCTTCTCCTAGAGAATAAGGTTAGATTATTATAGGTCGTTGACTAGTTTTAGACATACCGTTCGTCTAACTATGAACGCACTTGCGCCTACTCGCGCCTATGTACATCCTTCGTTAAGTATTTCTTTTTTATTTGCTAGCATTGGCAATAATATGACATTTATTAATATTGCCGATATTTCTAACGAATGAAGCATGCGTAGCACTTAAAGGTTTTCAGTTTCTTATTGCTTATGCTTCCTAGAAAATTGTTGTTATCATTTCATTATCGAATTAAATTCAATAGTAAAGAGCGTGTTTATTGTGTCGGGGTCGAGGCATTTAAAGAAATTGTGTTAATGCAGGAGCGATTTCAAGTAATTGTGAAAACAACCGAAAAATATGCTGTTTCATTTGAAGTTTGATTAAAAAACAATTAATTTTTTTATTATCATTTATTATATTTTATAATTTTTGAATTTGTAAATAATTATTTGAGCCAAATTTTTCAAAAACCTTAACGTGGACCTGTAAAGTATGGAAATCCAGTAAAGATACAGAGAAAATTTTTTATATTGTCTACTAAATAGTAAAGACCTTAAGAGATTTAATAAAATATACAATGAAGAAATCTGTTTAATGTCACATAATTTTTATAATAATGTTATATATAAAATTAAGTAACTCATTAATTTTCATCAACTTAATTTTAAACGATCATTGTATAAAATATAGTTTATTTGTTATTTAAATAATGATTTAAGAATACAGCATACGGCTTTGTTGATAAACTTTCAGAATTTCCAGCCAAATTATGTATTATATAATACAATCAAACATTTGTTATTCGATGCACCATCAATCATATTTAATGCTTAAGAATTCTATTTGAGAGATGGATGCTATTAAACATTTGTGCCAATAATATAATAATAATAATCAGTATCGGAATAAAAGTAATTTTAGTATTTTAACTAAAGTCTAATATTTTTTCAAAATATCATGAGCTTTATTCTCTAATAATATAGTTTAATTAATAATCCATGATATAATATTATTTACAGATTTTTCAAATGAAACTAAATTTCTTTTAAAAGTAAAACTTTTAAATATGTTTTAGCTTCAATTGCAACGCAAATGCTTAGAATATCATTATTAACATAAATAACTAATGTCTGACTTTATGTCCTAAGACATGCAAATATAACAAATTACATTCTTTTATTGTACTTTTTTATTCTTTTATTTTACTTCAATTTTAAGCTTATTTTCCTTATTTAAAATTTTCCTAATAAAATATTATATTACTTGATAAAGATTATCGCCTTTATTATTTGTTAATAACTTGAAAACTTCGATGTAGAATTACCGATAGAGCTTATGGGCAGGCATTATTAATTACAAATATGTGGTTAAGATGTCGCTCATCAATCAGTCACCAAAGTAATTTTCTTACGTATCGACATGTCCATGTTTATAATCGTTGATTTTCACGAATGAAGAGTTGAACTTTAATTGTTAAATACTTAAAATAATTTCGTCTATAATTTTAATGAATCGATGAGATCGGATAATAATGGCCAGTCGAATATTTAAATTGCTTTCTACGACTTCAGTAAACTCGATTCAAGTTCGACATAAATTTTCCAGAGGAAAGCCTCCAACTTTAGCTCGGAGTCTAAAACAGCGCATTGCAGGTTAATTATAGACTTTTAAAATTATGTAGTAATTAATCAACTAATATTTAATTAAAATTATAATTATTTATTTAGAATTAGAGCATAAAGACCCGGCGGTTCATTACCAAGTGAATATTGGATTTAAGCTTAGTAATTATGTCGACAAAGATTATAAAGCAGCGTATAAAAAATTAGTAAAAGAGAATTTGCATAATACTGATTTGGAGAAGCTTGCGTATGCCAATAAGAGTAAGTTACTAAGTTTGTGCATCATATTCAATTAAAATTTTTCTATAAAATAATCATTTGTATAACTTTTTATTCTTTTAATACATGTCTTTACACTTGGTTTAAAAATTATTATTATAAGTTTTTTATTTATATTTGTATATTGATTTTATAATAAATCTAAAAATTCGTATATTAATGGTGTTTGACGTACTTATTTGATAATGTTTTTGCAATAGTTGACAATTGAAAATATATTTATATTTAAATTTTTAAACTACATCGACCAATCATATGTTCTTTTTTATGAAGCCTTATAGAATAAATTTTATCTAAATATTATCTTTAATCATCAAGTTTTTTAAAGTATTATTTATTTTATTTACAGTAAATGTTGATTTAGATGAATCTAAGCAGATTTGGCTAGATACAACTGCTCCTTATCAAATTTATAATGTTGCAAACTATTATGGCATTTATAAAGATTTATATGGAGATGCTTATTTTTATCCTATAATTCCATTAACCGTTGATTACTTATATAGCAATGATATTGTACCAAGAGTTCATAGAGGAAATATAATTCAATCATATTTAGCAAAAGAGGCGCCCAGTGTAAAATACTTTTCTAATCCAAATTCTTTGTGGACACTACTTTGTACAACACCCGATGGCAATTTTTCTGATCCAAACATAGAATATTGTCATTGGTTTGTGTAAGTTTCTTTTCATTGCAAAGAAGTATCTACTATTAGACATTTAAATTGCAGAATAAAGTAATGTTAATAAAGTAATGTTACTATTAACTATTAGTTTTCCAAATACACTTTCACTATTACAAATTCGTAATTTATTGTAACTAACTTATATGTTTATTCTATATACATTTTTATATTCTATTACACGCTTATATTTCCTTCTATAATAAAATTAATATATTTATGTTAGCGGTAACATACCTGGGAATGATGTAGCTAATGGCGAACAAATAATAGATTATTTAAGGCCAATTCCAGCACAGGGAATAGGATTCTGTAGATACATTTTCGTATTATATAAACAGAATACGAAACTGGACTTTTCCGAATACAAAAAGGAACAACCATGGTGTGTTATTTATTTTATAATTATACATATACATATATATATATTAAATGATTTGTGTAATAATAATTGCAAAATTTTCATTTTATTAGTTTAAATTTAGTCGATCGAAATTGGAAGACCTATGATTTTATGCTTAAGCATCAAAATGACTTAACACCAGCTGGTCTTACATTTTTCCAATGTGCATATGATAATACGCTTAAAAATTTTTATCATACGGTATTAAGTAAGTATTTTATAAAATAATTCTATATATAATTTTATTAAGTACTTAATATTTATATAATTAAAAAAAGATATTTTAAATTCTGTTATTGATACTTCAAGAATTCCGCTCTAGGAAAAATATCTTAAATGATTATTTTTATTTTTATATTAATTCAACGTTTAAAACTTTTTTACAATGTTACAAATTTTTAAAAAAACAATATTTTTTATCAAGCACCATTATTATTACAATGATTAATGTGATTTATTTAATAATCTTTAATATCCATTATACGTAACGTAATGTTTAACATCCAATAGTTATGAAGGAGAAGCATATTAAGATAAATCGTTATTACGTTTAAAATAAGCAGAGAGAAATCAATCGAGTCGAACTGCTGTTTTCATTAAATTAATTATTCTTTTGACCATTCGATAATAACAGTATTTGACTAATGTCTTTGTATTATTATTTGCCTCACTTTGTACTATTATTTAATAATATAAACTATATTATCATCTATAATATACTGTCACTGTGACTTATTACATTTTTTGCCTATTACGAGCGAACACTCGCTCTGGTTGAACCTTGGTATATAATGTTATTAAAGTAGAATTATTAATGGTATTATATTTTATTATTAATTTTCTTTTTTTAAAATGCATTTTTCAATATTAATAATCTGGTATGTGTTTTTAGTATTTATAAAACAATGAATTTGAATTCAATTGAGTTTTAGTTAAAAGTAAGTTTAATACTATAATTAATCTTTATAATTATTTTACAGATATGGAAAATCCATTATTCGAATACGATTTTGTCAAACCTTATTTAAAGCCTCCAGTATGGTTTCCTAAAAGACAACCGTTCAATATATACATGGATAGGTACAGAGATGAAAAACAAATCAACAAGGAGTATTTATTACGAAAATTGAAAAAGCAGCATCCATTTAAATTTCCTGATCCAGCTCTCAAGTATCCGAATGCGCATGCAATCGATCAAAACTTACCATCCTGGCTAAAAACGGAAATGGTAAATGAACGTCTAGGGCTTGGTCGTATAAAAAATTATGAATGAATACATTTTTAAATTATTATTAATTAAGACAATAATTTTCCATATTCATTATAGATTTTATTATAAAAATTTGTAAAATAAATTATAAAATTGTTAATTGTAATTTTATTGTATATTATTTCTATTGTTGCTTGTTTTTAATATGTCATCTAGTCCAATTTGATATTGGCTTCGACAATTTGTTTACTTCTCATCTTGATATCACGCCGTGTGAGGACACTTGTATCCACGATTTCATGTTCAAAGAATATACCTGTCATATAACATATCACTAATTAATTAGTTTATGTCACAGTTAAAAATCCATTATGTTAAATGATATTAAAAAGATTTATGATTTAAAAAAAAAATGTCAAATAAATGAAAACGTTCACATTTTTTTTTTAGCATAAAATGAATAATTTTGTAATGAATTGTCGTTAATTTGAAATTTCGGGAAAAATGAACTTGTCACCTTGTTTTTTATCCTGATCCTCAAATGCTAGTTGAGATCGATAAGTAGCAATGTAATTTTCGTAGAAATTACGGGCTTTTTCTTGTTTATCTTTATTAAGTGGGAAATTTGTTTGTCCAACTAAAATGATCGCTTTTCGAATTACTTGGTGTAGTACCGCTAATCCTATAGTACAATTTTATGTTTAAGATGTAATTTTTTTTAATAAATAAAAACTCTTAAGTGTTTATGAATTATATATTTGACGACTATTTAGTTAGATATAAATATTTTATCGTTTAATGTTATATATTTGGTTATTATTTTTTTTATGTTATTTTTCATTTCATAACGAAGTTTAAACGTAATTAATACATAATTAATTGTAAGCACAAAAATTAAATTACAATTAAATATTATTCTTAGATATGAAACAAAATATAGTTTTTAAGAATTAAGGGAACGAGATGAGAAATGCAAAGCAGAACTGAAATTCCGGTATTTATCAGTATAATAATATATCATATTTGTAAATAAAAATAGTTTGTGATTAGTTTTATTTAAATCCGTAATTATATTACTAAAACTTTGTCTAATTGAATTATCATACAATATATATCAATTCGTTAATTATTATTTTTGTATATACCTTCATTTTCTACGGGTTCTTCGCATTCATTCTTATTTTCATTTTCTTCCTCATCTTTTACTTCGCTTTCATCTACTTCTTTTACTTCTTTTAAACATTTCGACTTTACCGGGGGCTTTGTAACTTTTGCACACATAATCATCGAAGCTATGTTTTGTAGTGCTACTCTAATGTTCATTAATTGTTTGCCATTAGTATCTATTAGACTGTTATTTTTATTTATTCGGTCTTTCTCTTTTTCAATTTTGTCTAGCATTGCCTTTTTATCAGTTTTATATCTGTAATATAAGTATATATTTATTTAAAAATTAATACATTGCAAATATAATTTCCCGTTTGATGAATATTTTAATAATAAACATATTATTAAGTATTATTTATTTAATTGCCATGGAAATGATAATGGATAATACATGGGAGATATGAACTGAAATTTAATAACATTCCATAGAGATTCTTTCTAATACTTGAAAATAATCTATGTAACAATAATCTATGTATAATCATTGAATAATAATAGTTTTCAGTATATTTGTATGAAATTCGTACATTAAATTTATACAGCCAATTAAAAACAAATAAAAGACTAAAAATCTTCAATTTTATGTATTTGTTTTTCTTTTTTCTTTTTTTTTTTTTTATATAAATTTTATTCTTTGTTATTTTTTATATAAATTAATTTCTTTATTCTGTTATTAATTATAAATAATATTCAAATAAAAAAATATTACAAAATTTTATTAAATAATTATAATTATGTCGATATTATATTAAGATATTTGTTATAAAACATAAGAATTAATTTTCGATTAATCGTCTCATAAAACAATAATTTTTTTTTTTTTTTTTTTTTTTTTTTTTTTTTTTTTTTTAACCGATACAGAACAAATAAGCATTAATGAGTTTATATTTAATACAATTTCAGTTTTTACATTTCTTAAATAATGCACATTTTAAAGTATTAGTATCTTGTAAAATTAATAATTTTAACTTTTCTTTATTATTATTTTAAATGTTATATTGCAATATTGTACTAATCAATATTTGATCAATATTTAAACAAAAAATTGCATACATTTTATAATATTAATTTTCCACTTAAATAATTGCAAGATATAGGTTATTCAGTTACCGTGCAGTCGTCGATATGACTGAATGTTCTAAAGTTTTCAGGAGTAAACCTGCGTGATTTTCGTTTTTCATTTCAGAATCTCTTTGTTTCAAGGTGCGTTCATATAATCGGGAAAGCCTCGTTCGTTGTTTTATCTGATCATCAAGCCTAAAAGTTGATTAATTGTAATTTGACATTATTATTTTTAATGATAATGCAAGGAAAAACTGGGGAAATTTTTTCTATACACCTTATAAATAATTCTTCATATGATTGAATTAACATTGAGTCTTTCATTATATTGAAAATATTTTCTAGCTGTTGTATTTGTTTCTGTAATTTCTTATCTACATCTATCGTCTTCTTTTTTTTCTTTTTTAATAGATTGGCATCACTCTGCAATAAATGTGTACACATACTGGAATATTACGTCAATATTAATTTGATTTTTATTTCAATGAATCGAGTGTCGAATTGTATTATTTCAATTTTATTATTTTTATTTTTAATGAGAATGTAATTATTATTCTATGAATTCTTTTTTATTTTTATGTTTTTTCTTTAATATAATATAAAATTTAGATAATAAATAAGTATAAAAAGAAATTTTCTACTATGATGTAATAAAATAATAATGTAGATATTAATTTATTTAATATGAAAATAAAATTGAAGGTGACGATGATCCATAGAAATTTAAAGTTAAAATTAATTGATTGATTATTGCAATGAATAAATAATTATTTATGTATATTTTAAATTTGACCGTATGTTGATCAGCAATATTATATAATTAATATGAAAAGGATATTTACATCGATTCTGACTAAAGATTTCGCGTACTGCCAAACATCATCAACTTTCCTTCTCATAAATTCCAGAGTCTTCTCCCGTTCCTTCATATTCACCCAGACGTCACGAGCCATTTTTTTATATTTTATTCGAATATCATCTAAATTTTCTGTTGCCAATTGGGCCATTATGGTAGTTTTATAAATCACATTGCTTTGATCTTTTTGGTCATTGCGCAGAGCATTTAATACAGCATCGAAATACATGGAATCCTATTTATGAATTGAAAATTTTATTTTTCTTTTCTGTACCCCTTCGCAATATATAATATTGTACGTAATTTTAAAATAACAATATAGTTATGTAATAATTATAGAATATTATATATTTACTTCTATAATATAATATAAACTAATATAATCATATAATTCTGCACAATATTATTGATTATTTAATGATTTTATCAGTTTAATATGAATATATATATTTATTTTATTTATAAATATAACTTAAGAATTAAAGTTAAAATAATATTAAAAAAGAATACCTTTGAAGAATGAAGCAAGTAGATAGAATAATAGTTATTAATAAGTAAATTATAATTATGTTCCTAATAAATATAATATATATTGTCATTTAAAATAATTTTGTTCTTATTGAACTTACATTTGTTTAAGAATTTATTAATGTATTTTATACTTATAATAAAAAAAATTATGCCAGATATTATGAAAATTACACGAATCTGAGTTATACATTAATATAATTATTTATTTTGAATTCGATAATATATTATCATTTAATGCCCATCATTCCTTTATAATATAGATTATTTGATTTGCAATTATTTTTTCTCAATTTTTGTATTTAAGATTGAAGACCTCAAAATATTAAGGCATTTAATTATTGAAACAAATTTTGTTTGAAATTTCTTTTAATTATAATCGATTGTTAAATAATATTTATCGAAGACAAATATAATACTGCATAAAGTAGATATAATTAACGAATACTTCATAATATTGATATTTTAACGTAGATACGAATGCAAAATTTAAAAAAAAATATATATAAGATTTTTCTATCGATTGTTATTATTTATGCAGTATATGATAAGTAGAAAAAAACGTTAGGTTCGTTCAATTAATACGAACACATTTATTTCAATGTTAATTTGAAAAGCTTGAAAAGCTTTTTATATAATTAGTAAATAAATAGTTCGATGTTGATATATTGCAATATTATTACCAGAAATATAATATTATTTATTAAATTCTTTAGAAACAATGGTAAAAACGCTCTATTCAATAATAATGTTTCTTGATTTCATTACAAAATGACAATACATAAGTTCGATAATGATTAAATAATACTTATTATTAAATAATTTGATTGCAGCATCACATTAAAACTGTATACATGAATATCAATGTTTATTTATGAATTTCCTTCAATTCTATTAATTTAAACACTTAAGAAATTAAAATCATTGTTGTGAAAAGATATTTTGCTAATATTTTCTATATAATATCTATAAAATATCAAAAAGGAATTTTGTTTATAATAAACTGTAATAAAATACGTAAAGTTTGTTAAACGTATTTATTTGCTATTAGCAGAAAATCAAAGTTGAAATTTAATTCATATATAATTTAATTGATATATAGATTGCCTAATTGTTAGATTACTAATTATTTGAATGAATTTATCAAACTATTGATATTTAAATAAAATATTAAATATAGATTAGCCATATATTTACAGCATGCAATATTAATATATTTATCAATTTCAAAATGACATAATTTTTAAAAATAAATTACTCTCCAAATTTTTGTATCGATTGCTTCAAAAGTACATATCATATCTGAGTTTAAATATTTATAAAATTATCAATTTCGATATGTGTATATATATATATAATGACTTTATGGCTAATTCATGATATACCTTTCTAAGAATATCACGAATCTCATGGTATGTGGTATGGATGGATTTTGCTGCATTTCGCTGTGATAAAGCCACTTGAAAACGCGAAATCAACTGCTGTTGTCGTTGTTGATACTTATGTTTGTTTTCCATTGCCGCCAACGTCTTACCTTCATTGATATCTTGCAACAGCATCGTGTACTCCGACTTTACGTAAATTATTATTAATTCATGCATAATTTAGTATGCATAATTTATTTCGTAATTACTGATTGTAAATTTTATGTAATGTTATGTTTTCGTGACTGACTGGTTTGTGTATGGAATCAATAGATTTTAAATACTTTTTAAATGCATTATTGGAAATTGTTTGGCAATGTTATATCGTTAATTTTTCAAGTACTGTAAAGAACATTTATAAATTAAGATAATTACTTTTTGTTAAAATTATTAATCTATTATTTATTGGTATTATTATTATTTATATTATTTCTATCGTACACAATTCTGTTATTTTATTAGTTTCTTATGACAGGCAGGCACTTATTGAATAAGAAATAGTAAAGTAGTAATGTGATATAATCTTTATGAATTTGTATAACATTACAATTTAATTAATATGAATTGATTTTTTTAATATTACCTTTAAGTTACAAAATTCTTGTGTTTTCTTTTCTTTCACGTGTAAAAGCTTATCCAATTGTTTACGTTTCAAATTGTAATCTTGAAATATCGCTGTAAAAGCTTCCTAAATTTTTATTATTAATATAAAATTTTAAATAATTCAGTTACATATTGTTCTACTCTACCGAAGGTTCTGTATCATGTAACACTGTTTGAAAATCTTTCTGATTTTGCCAAACTGTTCGGAAGAGTCTTTTATCGCCGCTAATGACATCGTTTACAATTTGACGATACTTTATGACATCAGTTGATAGCTCCTTCAAGTTTTTTGAAACTTGAAGTTTTAATTTTGTTGCATTTATTGTTTGAAGTTTCTTATCGCGAACTACATAAATAAAGATATACAAAATAAATCTTCTAAAAATAATGTTTTTATAATTTAACTTATATTAAAAAATAACATACACATTTGTGTACATAATTTTATATTGATTTAATATTACAATTATTTTTATCCATATAATTTAATCACCTATACATAGAATTTATGATAATACTTTTGAATTAATTTATTGGATTATTTATTGCAATCTTTATTAAAGAATGTAATTACAGTAGTGGCAATATATATATATATATATATATATATATATATATATATATATATATATATATATATGAGATTTTTAAATTATTTTTTATTGATAAATATTAATTTATTTGTTATCATTTTGTCTTTAATAATAATATTATTGTCAATAATATATATTTATAATAGTATACTTATTACAATGCCTACAAATCTTTCAACTTGGACTAATAAAGAGTAATCTATTATTATGATTTATCATCTTCTATCGCTACTAAAAATCTGTTATACTTATACAATTAGTAGGAATTAATAATAGGAATTGGCTTATTTATAATACAAAAATTTGTTTGATATTATAAATTATATATTTTAGCATTTGTCATAATCAATTAAACGAGCTATTCACATTTTTATAATAATTCATCATTGGAATTTAATTTACAAAAATCTGGAATATCGTTGATTATCTTGGTGCAAATAGTAAATTTATTTCTCTCAAGATCTTTCTAACTCTTATCGGCATTTCAGTTCAACTTTGAAAATAAAAGCAACATAAATTGAAAAAATATGGAAAACTAACCATGAAGTTTGAGTATAGTACGGTACTGAATCATTTTCTCCCGCGTGTTCCACTTTTCGTTTTTCATCCCGTGTACCTTCACGTATTTTGTGGACAACATTTTTAGGTATTACTCTTGTGCCTGATATTTCAATATTTAACGATGTCCATCAAAAATTCAAATTGGGCACATAGCGGCGGACGTAGTGACTCGACTCGCCTGCGTGCTGCCATGCTCGAGAGGGGCACGCAGGGTGGTAAAAAAAAAAAAAAAAAAAAAAAAAAATTTGAATGACACTGCGCTGATTAAGAGACATTATCCAGATGGAATGAATTGTGATTTCTGAAAAACGAGATCAAAATAGACTGATTAGACAGATGAGATATAAATAGATATATGAATCAATAAATAAATAAATATATATATATATATATATGGGGAGAAGAGAGAGAGAGAGAGAGAGAGAGAGAGAGAAGGAGGGAGAGAGTGGGAGAACAATCATAATTAATTGCTCATAGATTTTTATATCGTATACTTGTTATTATGTCGTTTTAAAATACGGTATTTTGTAATATTATTTACATGTACTTTTAACCAATTTTTAAGTTAATTTTTCTCCAAAATCAAAGTTATTTATTATTATTAAAATTGTGTATTGAAAAGTAGATTGCAGATTACAGTTTTGGAAAGTTATACATCGTTACATTTTATCAAATATAACCTATAATAATAGAATATTGGTCTATTGAAAAGGTTTTTTAATTATGGAAATATTGGTTATGGAACAAACAATAATAATTGACATATAATATTAAAATAAAAAAGGAAGTAGGTATTAATATAAGAGATATAGCAACCTCTTTAGAATATTCATCATAAATAAATAAAACTTTCTACTGATAAAAGTACGTATTCAATAATATTTGCAGCATTGAATTCAGTGTAAATATGAGATCATCAAATATTGTTCAGCCATTCTTTTATCATATTTGAACATATGTACATTGTTCAAAACGGATGTAAATGTAAAAGAGTTGCATCGTACCATCTGCATACACAAAGTTCAGAGTTGACGAGTACAGAATTCATCCTCGCTCATTCTCGTCTATTTACGCATTCGCTACTGCAACGTGTATCATTACCATAAATCAGTATGAAAGTGTCATCAATGTTGACTACTTAGAGGTACCTTAATAGGATCATACCATAAATGCATAAATTCGTCGTCCGTTCGCTTTTACGTTTGGATGAGACATAAAAGGCAACAATAGCGCAATTTTGAACGCGCTCACAAATTGCTTTTTATATTAGCAATTACACTGATGGAGTTATCAATAACTTTATTTATTTGATTTAAGTTTTTATGCTAATAATTCACTGATATTATATACATTGAGTATTAGTATTTTTTTTTTTTTTATTCTATGTATTTAGATTATTGATAAATTTATCGTGTAATATAAACCTACAATATAATTTGAAAGTTATTTTATGAATTACCTCTACGACAAAGTTTAATTTATAATTAATTTATAATAGTATGCGAGCTAAAATAATTTATAAAATCAACGTTATAAATATCATTTTGAAAAAATTTATACATGTATATATATATAGGTATCTAATCTGCATCTTTGTGATGTTAATTATATTCTTACATCAATAATCTTGTTATAATTTTATGTTTTAAGTATTTAAAATTTACATTAAATCATACAGTATACAATTTTTGTTTAATATTATAATAAATTTTTCCTCTTCTTTACAAAACTTTTTTTTCTCTTTTATAATACATATTAATTAATGATATAATAAAATAAAAACTGAACTAAAAACAAATATTAAATATTTATAATATCTAATGTAGGTAATTATCACTTTATTGATTTAATATAGATAATTATACACCTTGTAATACTCCATATTATATACATACATGCATACATACATACATACATACATAAATACATACACACACGCGCGCGCGCGCACATACACACACACCCACACATACACACACACACACACACACACACACACACACACATATATATATATATATATAGACTAGAAATAAAATGGAACTTTGAAACTTTAGCATTAATCTTGTATTTTCACACCTGAAGATTTTAGAATTTCAAGCTCACTATCTAAATTAATATTTTACCTTCCAATGTACTTATTATATCCTTCTTAAGTTGCTTCTTCCTCGAATCTACATAGTACATGCTTATAAATATAGTAATTTTTATAACTTATATTAAAAATTGGATTTTTTTATTAAAGTAGATCACAAAATTTCTTTCAAATAAAGAATTCTAGATCTTTGTTATTTTATGTCTAGATATATTGTAATAATGCATTTGTTTTATATGCATACAAGGCTATATTTTTATATATTGTAACTTTCATTTATTTCATATTTACAATTATATGGGCTTATAAAAAATCAGTTATTTCTTAAATAAAATCTTATAAATATTCTATAAAAATATTGTTTTTTCGCGTTAATTTCTTTGACTAAATGGAAATTTTTCTTTATATTTATGCGAATTTATGAAAATCGATTTTTTACGCTTATAGAATTATTATTAAGTTTTTTCTATTATATTGTTCCTAGTGATATTTAGGAACAGTGCTTCAGTTAAAATATACTTCATACTTAGTGAATTTTTTATTCGTGTATTTAAAAAAATTAAATGTCTATTGATATTGATTTATTTTTCTTGCATAAATTTCATAATTCCTTTAAGATTAAATACAAATAATATTTAATGAAATTTTTCCCATTTATTGAAATGATTTAATTTTTTATATTTTTTGCACATACAAATATTTTATATATTAATTAAAATAGAATTACACGAACGTTTCATGAAATCCTACTCTATTGTTATTGTTGTTGTATATCTATAATTTCTATTGTATAAACCTTTGAAATCTTTTATTTTGTAATATTTATTACTATTATCTATAAGAGATTTTTATAAATATTTATATTTTTATTCATTACATTTGTTTAACTTTACATATTTATTTATCTTATTGTCACAATCAGTGCATTTTACATCTTGTTAAAATGGAATTGAATGTCATTTTAGCGAATAAATAATATAATAATTTATGTTTTTGTTTAAGTAATCTAAAATTATTAATTATTACTTATAATTTATGCTTTCTATATTCATTATTTCCATTTGTCATTGGATTATTAACTAAATTGTTTATTATTATTATTGTATGTATTAAATGAAAATGAATAATATTATTTTATCCACTTTTTGTACAAAAAGACACTACTTTTTATTTTACTGCAAATACATATGATTTTATTTCATAAATTATACTTTGACTAATGTATTATCAATTTTTTTTTATTATTAATTTACTTTTTATAATAATATTTTACGTGTGATTTAAATTTAATATTGATTTGATAATTTATCGTAATAATATATTTTATAATAATAGAATATTATATGGTTATAATATTTTATAATTAAGTGTATCAAGATTAAAGGGTATAATATCAATTTGAGTTGAAGAATTAAAATAATTTCATCAGCATCGATTGAATTACTACTAATCGAAGATTGGCAATAATATACAACTTCGATCTTCATTTCGGTCGAATTAAATATGGCCGTGAAATTAATATTTTAAGCCTACAGATATTTTTTTAGATAATATGGTAGAATTTGCAAGAAGCATAATGAATTTATTGATACAAATGTCCTTCTCGTTGTCCTTTATTAAAATGCTCTGATAATCTGAAATTGTTATTATTAAATCTTACAATCGATAAATTTTTTTTTTTTTTTTCATCCCTTTTTACACTCTCAGTTGCAATCGATGTTAATGTTTAAAGGTGCATAGTTGAGGTATTGAATAAAAAATGAGAGGAAAATGATAAAATATAAATGTCATTTGATTCAACATAATAATTTGATGATTTTGAATGATTTTTGTTTATATTCATAATTAAAATTTGTATTAAATTTAATTATTTTTTTTTCTGTTTGATGTATAAAAGGATTATTAATTAATTAATGTAATTTTGGAACACTGAAAGTAGTAAGTACAGTATCGTAGCGAAACGATGATAGGCTAGGAAATATTGATTGGTAAAACCAGGTAACACGAGTCCACTATTTAATATCATCGAGCTTGAGTGTAAACGATATAAATCAATAAACGATAAACGATTAAAATTTCTCCGCACATTTTGACATTAATTTTACTGACTATTTGCCACGAGTTGAATGCTGAATATATTGATATTTCTTGATTCATGCAAAATGTTAAATTTACACCATTTAATGTGAAGCTTATGTATTCTTAACGTGTGCCGTAATACGCAATGCCGTAAGATCAATGCGTCGCTTCTGGATTCTGCAATTCATGTTCTCCTTATACTTACTTTATACAGGAGCACGTACAATCTGCCGTAGCTTTAAATGCCGCGAGTATTCGCTCTTGTCGGATTCTGGAATTGATTGCTGCGCTCGGAAAGGAAAGCCCTGGAGCTACACGAAAGTCTAATTCGCATTTCTCCCTATCTATGGTCCACTGCAACCCTTTCCTAAAGTGCGTTATATCTATGTTAGTATGAAGGAAAAAGCGTAATTTAATGCTCACGTTTGCTGCCAGAATTCCTTTGATAAGCATTTTGGGTAGAGATAATATTCTCATACTTTAGCCTCTATTTTGCTTGTGGTGGTGCACAAAGGAGGGGCTATTTAGTGGGATACGAAATTTTCAATTATACCGACCAAGTGGAATCATTCCTTGTGCTTCGGCTGTAGCTCAATATGTCGAAGTTAACTGATTCGTTAATCAGCTCAGCTACCTCCCATCGGTTACACTTTATTATGAAATAATGAAGTTCACCGCAATTTGGAAGTATAAGCTAGAGTATTTGCAATTTTATGTAGATAATTTTATGTGAGATTTTAGATTAATATACGATTATCTTTTAAATGTTAGAAAAGTAAATTTTAATAAACAAAAGTTTATATTTAAATTTACTCTTTTTAGTTTTCTAGTTTTACCGCAGTTTTTTCTTTCTTTTTTTTTTTTTTTTTTTTTTCCATTGTATATTATTACTCTTGACTCGTGCGACATAATGCAATTGTATAAGATAAGGAGTAAAATCTTCATGTTCTATATAATTCCAATAAATTACAATGTATGCAAATATAAATTGAAAATGACAATAAGTTGTAATTTACAATCATGCATAAAATTAAATGAAAATTCCAATTATTGGACTTTTATTTCATTGTTTTGAAGAATGTCGATTGCATAAATCATTAAAGGATAATCAAAGTAGAAACTCTTTATTACTATTTTCAGATACAGTAAAATGTCGCCTTAATGTCATATGCTCAAAATATATATATTATTTATAACTTTTTATTATTATTCTAGAACACATTTCAATTAAGTCTCGTGACATTATAAACTAAAATTTTTATCATTTTTGAATTTCTTTTCTTTCTTAAGGACAAAATGTAACTTGGGATTTGAGAAAAACCCTAACAGACGTTATCGAAGAAAATTTTTTAGCATTTTAAAAACGAAAATTTAAATATGAATATATCTTCATCATTTTATATTATATGAAAGCTTTATCATGTCGTAATATCGTTTCTGATACTCTGTAACTTTACATGAAACTTTACAGTTGTAAAAGTTAATGGAATTAATAATTTGGATTTGCAGAGTGTTATTTATATTTGCATATCTACAATTTTGTATTTTAATTCTTCTCAACTTACTATTTATTTTACTACAATTAATTTTTGATTATTAATTAATTGTAATTTAAATCTTTAATAAAAATGAATGAAAATGCTTAAGTGAAGTGTACATTATTGTTAAATTGATTTTTTCGATCGACCGATGATAAATTAATAACTTTAACTAATTCAGAACATATAATTAAAAATTTAAGCTTGTTAATCACGTATTTCGCGCATTAAAGTTATGTAATATAGATTACGTTTCTTTAATATTTTGTAGCTATGTATATGAATTAGTAAATCTGTAATATATTTACATGTTTTTAAATTATATTTTATTAATATTAAGATATAAATTAATTACATTTCATAGAAAATTGAATATCCATGATTATTGTTTATCATCATTCTTTTATTAATTTAATCTTTTCATTATGTCGTTTCGCTGTTTTAATTTACTACTTATAAACTTACCATATTTATTAAATACATAAAGCAATTACAATTATTTTTACAATTTTATGTAACACATTTTTGTTTTATAATATATTGTTGAAGGGTATTATTAAATTAAATGTATAGATTTATATTAATTTTAAGGGGAGATTATTACACTCCACTGTCAAATGCTGAGATGTGACGATATATTTTTCTTTATTTTTTTCGGATGCGAATTCGATTTCAGCTATTATTATGTTTATTGCCAGTCGCTTTATCAATCAAAATCGATTGTTTTAAATTATCGAATAAATTTCTTCTTCGAATGTTAAGTAAATTGCCGATTATGTATAATTTCATATTTATTAGTTACCCGATAAAATTAATTCGGTATTCGATAAAATTAAAATTTTTATTATGATATATAGTAATAAATATTGTATTAATATTACTTTTAATGCGTAAAATTTCATTTTACATTATACATAGTTATTATATTTTCCTATTGAAATATTGTACGATAATAAAACAGAATTTTGATTCGTTAAAAAAATGTATTTGTAATATTACTCATCTATTATACTCGTAATTAGTGATCTATATTTCAATTAAATCTATTTTTATTCTCGACTAATTATATATATATATATATATATATATTATGCCATTGATTTGCAACGAAACGAAAATGCATTTATTTCTTAATAATGATTTAATACAAGTGTGGTGGATCATTTATGAAAGAACTGTGCAATTACGCTTGATTGAGTATAATGATACAATCGTGCGATGTACGTAATTTTTCTCTTTCGTGATCACTTACTGCCTAACAAAAAATTGAATCCGTTGTGCTATAAAATAAAAAAGACATTGGATAGACGATACGGATACAGATTAAAGAGGATATTCTGGAAAGAGCTCAGAGATGAATTTACAAAAGTAACGAGTTGTACAGGTGCAAGTGCACGAATAACTTGTATCAATTTGTTAATAATTTAATAAATCATCGTTAAAGAGCCGAGGCTAGTGGTGTCTGATGACGAATAGGCATGAAAATCGATTGATATCAAATTGATCGATAGCTTCTTCACTTGCATCGTGATAGTATTGTCGCGGCCACGTGCAGTGGCAGAGTCAAGTGCGTTGATCGTGAAAAAGGGCCTCAAAAATAAAATATCCGAGTTATATTTAGGCCCTTTACAAGTCCGGAGGAGAAAATTTCAGTGATTTTACAAGTTAGCTTTAGTTGCGATGAATGCCTTTGCCGTTAAAGTAACTCCCTTACTAATTGACTCGCCACCATCGTCAAGAGTTTCTGTTGCTTTGCTGATTCCAACTCTCTTCACTCCTCCAACAATTGTTGCTGCGGCGTTCTATATTATCTTTCGGGTCTATAGATCTGTGAGTGGCTGCTGGACTAATTGTCTGTGCACAATGTTGCAAAGCAGGCGTTATCTCATTGGTTGTTATGTTTCTTGAATTATCATCACAATAGTTAATGAAGCTCCTTTGCTTCCATGAGTCGACTATTGAAACTAAGAGAAACAATACAGCAGAATTTTTATGATCTCTAAAAGTTTTATGGTACTTAATAATGGGAAAAGTATGTGGAAAGAACAAATTACTTTACTTTAATAATAATGCTATTATTTTTATATTAGTTGGGGTAGTTTTTAAGTTCATCTACTTTGACACGTCTGTACCGACTGTTCGTGCACAGGATTTTTCGTTATTTCCGAAGGCCAAATTCAATCAGCGTTATTGCAGAGGTTATAAGGCCACAATCTAATTTTTCTTTTCGTAAAATACAAGTATCGAATGTAGAGTAGAAAAAATCATTGTATGATGTAAGAGCAAGTTTAAAGGTGTGTTAGTAAACCTTTCTACGCAAACCATGTATCATAATTTATTCCTTCTCCCTGTTATTTTGTATCTTAAAGTCAGTGGAATATGTAAAACAGTAGTCTTCGCATTAATCTTCTTTCCCAAGATATTTATATTCAATATGTTAATGTTTTAAGCTTTATAATAGTCCGATGGGGCTGGAGATTTTTGCAATTTTTAATTTATATAATATCTACATACTACGCTACACATAAAGTATCTAGCATAGTATATAAAAAAAAAAGTAAACAATCGTCAATGATACTTATTGGCTTATTGCACTTTTAATATTTATTTCAATGGCGTTGATGTTAACTATTTTTATGCAAATCATTCTATGTTTTTTTAATTTTCAGATCTATACAAGCCAAGTAATTTCTGAATTTTTTGTAAATAATTTTATTTCACTATGGATACTGTTAACATCGAAGACGAATAGTTTTTCTACCAATGATTAGAAATTCAGATATAAGGACCGACAGTTTGTTATGACTTTTTTTACTTACATTTCCATGCAAAAAAATTTCCAAAATAAAAACTGCTATCTCGTTTTTTCTAATTATTACTTATGCATATATACACAAATATATTTTTAATCAATTACTTTTTACCAAATGCTCAAATCAATTAAATTACAATGAGACGTAAAATAAAAAGAATTTGAACAATTTTCTTATGATATTTAAATTATGTTTCGAATTAAATATCAAACAAATATTAAATACAATATCCTTTGCTGACATACGAATTTACGTTTTGTGCGTACGTATTTGAATAATACAAAATGATAATTGCGCTGAACGTATAAATATACAAGTTGTCAAATGGAACATTTATTTTTACTTCTAGTATTTATTTACATTTTTGCTACTAATGCAATTGACATAATTATCAAACACTATTGTCAAATTATGTTTACAATATTTATTGATAAAACTTCTTCTATCGAACACTTAATTGGCAATAATTTGATAAAAAATTTCAATTTTATGAAAATGAATAAAATAGAAGAAAAACTATTTTATATGAAATGATTTATTATCGTAAATTATTTATTTTCCTTTGCATTGAACTTATATCGAAAATGACTTGATTATAAAAATAATCGAATGAGTATATCAGAAATAATCAGGGAGACTAGATTAAGAACATTTCTAATGTTCTTTTTCTTTATTGCTATATGTAAGCCTTTTTCAAACAAACCTGATCAATATCTTATGAAGATTTTACTACAAATTCGCTTTCCGTTGAGATAGGATCGATCAATATAAAATAATAACTATGAAACTTTATATAAAGTGGTAATTGTCATAATGAAACAAATAACGATAAACTTGTATGCTCATTGTAATTTATAGAAATTTGAATTTCTGATCTTGAATTATCGAGTTAAATGTATTTCTTACAATTTCTTATAAGAATCTATGAGTTTCTTGTAATTTTTCTCATATATAGATTATATTGTTATATGACACTTGCTTTGAATTTATTATTTTTCGTATTTTACGTACATTTTTCCATGAATTTAATTATCATTAAATAGAATTAAAGCACATCTTCAACACACATATTGTATCTTTCTAT